ACTTTGGTACTGTGTAACACATGCAGACCTGGGTAGGTCTGTCTGGCTAATAGCATTTGCTTGCAAGGTTCCTTTTTGGGCAGTGATCTTGCCTCTTACCAACTAGGATAACGAATGCTAAAGCCAAAGCATTGAAAGTCTGACTCAGACTTAAATTCAAGGACTTAAAAACTTAACCCAGTGAGCACACAAAATGAATGACCAAACAAATTAGCCTTCCTAGAGACAAGCAACAGCATTGCGTGTCCCAGGGTAATGGGGATCCTGAAATAGCCACTGTGCCATGTTACACTATGGAGTCCTCTCTTGCCATACAATCTGTTAGAAGCTACGGTTCTGTGGACTTGTTTCCACCTACCTCAGACCTCTTTCCTAAGCCCGTCTATAGCTGCCACCTACTGTCATTAAATCCTGTGGCATGTAAACAACTCTTTATTAAGATACTTGAAACATTGGGAGTAGCAGCTATCTAGGGTAAAGCAGATTAGACTACATTATGGGTAGCGACTTTGGTTGCTACAGTTTGGGCACCTTTTTCCTTTTAAGGAGACCAGAGATCAGCTGTGTTAAGGGCAGCTCCTCTTGCCAGCATTCGTTGAGCTGTCTTGTCCCAGTCCTTTCTTAGGAACAAGGCCTAATGTTAGCTGTTTGCCTTCTCCTGTTCTCTTCCTGACTTCTCTTTAGTGCCTGCAGAAGAATAGGCAGCAAATAGTGGTGGTATTGCTTTTTGTCCAATAGAACTGGTGATTCTAGAAAGAGATGGATGGGGTATGGAGGTCCTGGATCCCATGGGAGCTGGTGAAGAAAAGCGGGTTCTGAGAGGAGGCAAAACTAGGGAAGGAAGAGCCCCCATTTTTGTTTGTTTCCTGAAATCTTGCTGCTCTCTGAGGTTTCCCTCTAGCAGCTGGATCCCTGTTCTGCAAACCTCACTGTTTCTTCATCATGGGTTCATGAGGGGAAAATCCTGCTTAACTAACTTGAATTTCCTTTTATGACAGGGTCACCCATTGACCAAGGGAAGCCAGCAGATGTGTTTTTTTTATTTTAGCAAAGCTTTTGATACTGTCTCTCACAGTATCCTTCTGGTCAAAATGTCCAGCATACAGCTAGACAAGTCCATAATACATTGTGTGAACAATTGGCTGATGGGTCAGGCTCAGAGTTATAGTAAATGGTGTTACATCAGTCTGGTGGCTAGTCTCCAGTGGGGCTCCCCAGGGCTCAATTTTAGGGCCAGTGCTCTTTAATGTTTTTATAAATGACCGGGATGCAGGAATCAAATGTACATTAGGTAAGTTTGCCAATTATACTAAATTAGGAGGAGCTGTGGATTCCCTCAAGGGTAGAGAGGCCTTAGAGATCTGGATAGACTAGAGAGCTGGGCAATCACCAATCCTATGAAATTTAACAAGAGCAAGTGCTGGATTCTTCACCTGGGATGGGGTAATTCTGGTTATATGTACAAACTGGGGGATGAGAGGCTGGTGAGCAGCCCTGGGGAAAGAGATCTGGGGGTTTGTGTTGATGGCAAGTTGAATATGAGTCAACAGTGTGCTCTGGCAGCCAAAAGGGCTAACTGTGTCCTGGGGTGCATCAAGCACAGCACAGCTAGCCAGGGAAGTGATTGTCCCACTCTACACTGCACTGGTGTAGCCCCATCTTGAGTACTGTGTGCAGTTTTTGCATTCCATTTTCCAGGAGGAAATAGAATGAAGCTGCATCAGGGGAAGTTCAGATTGGACATTAGGAAAAGGTTCTTCACTGGGAGGGTGGTGGGTCACTCGAACAGGCTCCCCAGGGAAGTGGTCATGGCACCAAGCCTGTCAGAGTTCAAGGAGCTTCTGGACAATGCTCTTAGACATATGATTTACTTTTAGGTAGTCCTGTGAGGAGCAGGGAGTTGGACTCAATGATCCTTATGGGTCCCTTCCAACTTGAGATATTCTATGATCCATCTGGGAAACAGCTGTGACACACACAAATCACCTTTCCTGCCCCACCCCTAAACCTGCACACAATATTAAAAATCTGTTGTATTAAAGATACTGAAGTATTCAAATAGTTCTGAAAACCCATTTCATCTTTTCTTTCTCATGCATCTCCTTTCACTGCCAGCATTCAGTTACCATCCCTCATGGTAAGTTACAGCCTTCCCAGTACAGCTGTTCATGATGCTACAGCGCTGCCCTGATGCTGAGCTAATCAGGGCAACCAGCGTGGGATGTTGTTGGAGGCTATACATTGCAAGGAGCAAAATAGTAAACTAGTGAGGGAACAACTTAACCAGTCCTCAAATTACTATCCGAGATGGGTTTTCCACAGAGCAAAAGTTGATTTCTTTTTCTTTTTTCTGTCAGCTTCCAGTATTTTGCCTATCTTGGGTCACATAGTCTTGCTAGCTGCTGCCAAATCATCTGCAGGGACAAGCTAATTTAAAATAGTTTTGAAGTTACATCCTTTAGCTTAATGGGACAGGTTGCAGCTGTTGCTTTCTAGAAATCAAGTGTGACACCTTCTTGGGGTGAAGGGACTCAAGGACTGGTACAACCCCATTATCGCTTGTGTGACTTTTGTCACCAGTTTTATTAGTCAGCTGTGGCTTGAAAGGAGATTTTTTTTTTCCCCGGTAGCCCTGTAGAAATTTATCCTATGGGTAAATACTGTTTCAGACTTGAACAATGCAAAGAAGAAACAGAAGAAATGAGTGGGGACAAAGAATTTTTTTCAAATTAAGCTCACTACAGTCAGAATATTAGGAACATGCAAAACAGAGCTTTAACCATAAAGAGCAGAAATACTGGTGGCTCCTGTATGTTTCATTCTCCTGTAGCTCTGCAGAATATTCAGCATAAGAATGGCTGTACAGGTTATGCAATTTTACTGCTTAAACAAAGCATAAATGTTTCATAACAAATTTCTCAATGATCCAAAGTGCCATCTGTAGTGATGGTTATTTATTAGGCTTTTGGAGCAGGACTCACCTGAATTCAATGCCAGCACCTAGTCCTATTAATATCTTTTGCAAGAAAGGATACAACATTTTCATTCACATTGACAAAGAAAATGCTCTGAAGTGACAACAGTAACATTCTTCTTGCATGTGAATTTGAACTTCTTTCAGCCACAGCGGGGGAAGCTCTCCCTCACAGATGAGCTCCACTGGGCTGATGGATTTATCATTGTTTACGACATCAGTGACAGAGCATCATTTGCATTTGCAAAAGCATTGCTGTACAGGATCCGAGAGTCTCACATAGGAGCTTGTAAAAAGTAAGTGGCATTATTTTTGTTTCCTTCAGCAAACATACAAAAAAGCTGAGAACATTTCTGTGAGCTGTAGGCATCCTGGTAGCAATTAAAATCCAGCAGCATCCTAGTGGCATAACACAATACCAACAATAAGGTACCTGAAGGTAAACTGTACTGCAAATTGCAATCTATTTCACTGTATCCAAAGCCAAGTACATCATGATTTTTGTTCTTATTTCTTACAGCACTACTATTTAAATAATTGCCATAAATCTGTCTGCTGTGATTTACATGGGTAAAAAGCTGGTATAGTCAGTCTATGCTTTTACTCGCCCACTCTATTACCAATGGAAATGCACCAATGTGGAGGTTGAAGAAAGCATTTCCCACAATAAATGACTCTAATAACATGAATGTCTCTTAAACTGCCTTTAGCGGTGACCCCAACATTATTTGTGCACATGGGTGACCATATGGTAAGAAACAAACTACTTCCTTTCAAAAAGAACCACCAAAACTACAAGTCTGAGTATATATGGTGGTGTGTATTCCTGCATCAGTCAGCTGAGGTGCTTTCTAAATAAATGAGAATGAAATCCTTTCCTTTTATCAGAAGTGGAGTAAAAAAGAAAAAAAACACTTTATGCCACTGACACATCTCTTTGGCTCTACTCTTTTGTCTACAAATGGACACACTGATCAGCTTGCTTCTTCATGAAGTCCAGGAGCTGACAATATACTCATCAGTATAGAGTATGAAAACTGCAGTGGATGAAAGATGCATGAATTCACTGAGTAGAGGAACCAAATGAAAACTTACTGATAGAGAATAGCTTGTCTGGAACATCCTTTGACGTTTGACTATGGCAAATGGAAAACTATAACTCTACCTGGCAAGGTAGAGTTAGGGGGTTAGTTTGGGGGTTGTTTTGTTCTTTTGGGTTTTTTGCGATGCTTATTATCCTGAACAAACATACTTTTTGTACACGCTGTATATAGCACTGCATACAGCACAGTATTGTAACATATCTTTTCTCTAATCGGAACCTTTTTGATTTCAGAATGCTTGAGTCATCAGTATTTTTGGTGGGTAACAAACAGGATTTATGCCACATGAGGGAAGTTGGCTGGGATGAAGGACAAAAGCTGGCAATGGATAACAAGTGCCAATTCTGTGAACTGTCTGCAGCAGAACATTATCAGGAAGTTGTGGCAATGTTCATGAAAGTCCTGAGGAATATCACCTCAAATTTCAAAGTGAAGGAAAAGAGACGACCAAGTGGATCAAAGTCAATGGCCAAGTTAATCAACAATGTGTTTGGAAAGAGAAGGAAATCTGTGTAAAAGATGGTTAGTCTTGAAGTAGGAACAAGCTGAAATAATGGAGCACAGAGAGCTCTTGGGATTCAGTCAGTTTCCTCCAAAGGTCAATGTCTGGAGGAGTAAGACAGTAGAAACCAAAGGTGGGAGACAGTATGGTCAAGTGGACAGGGTCTAGACCTAGAAGACCTGACCTATTTCCAGTTCTACTACAGATTTACTGTTAGGGCTATGTCACTTAAACTCTAAGATGCTCCTCTCACCTTTTATCTCGTAAGTTCTTCAGAGGAGGGTTTTAGTGTGTATTTATTCAACACCAACATGGTCTTGGATGGAACTTCTAGGTGTGACTGAAGTATAAACAGTTATTTCCAATAAACTCAGCCTTGCTGATCAAAATCTTACTTCAGAATTCTGAGAAGTAGTTGTTTTTTTGTGCAAGAACACTTGCGCTAAAGAAAAGCAAAATACTGCTGCTGTATGTGATAATGTGTGTATTTAACTCAAGGATGGATGGCTTAGATCCTCATGTGCCTAAAGGTGCCTAACACCTGTTGAAATATAAATTAAATGCTTAGACACCAAATCTACAAAAGGTATTTACCTACAAAGCTGCTGTGCAGAGGCACCAGAAATAGGGAAGCAGATAAACAAAGCAGTATTGTTTTCTGTTTCAGGGGTTTTTTTTGAGGGATGAAAGAAAGTAGAGAAGGTTGAGGAGGGTGGGAACTGAAATGTCAGTGAGCATTGGACTGTTTTGGCAAGGTCATTGTTTAGTGAAATAATTTTATGGCTAGGGCCAGTGTAACATCTTGGGCTGATCCCTTTCACAGAGCAGTTTTCGTAGACTGTAACAAAGTTTCCTTACTTGTAAGGTGGATGTGCCTGTTAAATTTTAGATGGGACTGGAAGCTTGAAAAGCACGTGGACTGGTAAAGAGCACAAGTTCTTTAGGATGTCTGCCTGGATTTAAAGGTCAGCCTGCTGGTAAGACCTGTGCTCCTAACTTGCATAGAGTGTTTTTCCTAAGGACCAATGTCTTTACAACTGGTCATCACTATGGTATTGAAATGCCACTTGAGAGAGCACTAAGGCATATGTTAGCTACACTTTGCAAATGTGGATATTAAACATCAGACGGGTCTAAATAAGTTGTCAATTGACATTCAGAGCTCTTACTGTAGACTTAACTAAATAAGGGCTTAGCCCAGTGTGTTTGAAAGTGCTGTGCTCATACAGAAGTTATGAAAGGGAAGAGAAGTGATCTGAAGATGAATTACTGCCTCCTGCCCATTCCAGAGGACAGCTGGTATTCAGTCTTTAAGTTGCTGAGTTGAAGCTTACCTCTGCTCTGAAACTTTACCTGCATTGTTTACTTTATCAGTCACAGCAGAATACTGATTTTCAACTGTCTACCCCATAAGATAACAAAAAAAAGCTATATAATCTTAGCATTACTGTTGTAAAATAAAACTAAAGCACATTTTAATAAGCGTTGACCAAAGATCCCTTCCTTTTTTTTAAGGAAAAGATACTGTTTATTTCACTTGTTTTAAGACTACAAATATTGGAATACAGTTCTCAGTGTTGACAGGCACAGTGTTGCTTTTCTTCTATGCAGATGCTGCTCTGCCCTATCGGGAGTACTGTATTGAACTGTATTGTCAGTAGCTATGAGGCTGAACTTGAAGACTATTCCTGTACACCCTTCAGCTTTCCAGCACACACGGAATTCCAGAACTACTAATAGACTGTTGATCTGTCAGGTAGCTGTATCTTGCCAGCTCTAGCATTGCCAGATCTGAGAACTCCATCTGTATTTACTGCCATGGTATTAAATAAAGTGGATATAAGATGGGTGTATTAATGCTTTTTTTTTCTTTACTGTGGTATAAAGCTACAGACTTTTTGTTTTGACTACTGTAAAAGTGAAGCACCATGCAGATCTGGAATTCAAATGGGTAAAAGTAAATCTGGGAATCAGACACCTGCACAAAAAAAGAGCCTCTAGCTGTGTTTCCTGTACACAGCGAAGGAGCCTTCATGTACCTTTATACAGTAAACAGTAGAGAACTTCTTTTTGAAAACTCTTTATCCTTTAAAAAATTGTCAGGACAGCCACAGAGAAGCTAATCAGTTTTGATTTGCTCATATTAATGGGAATGTGGACGTCCAGATAGGTGGAATCTGCACTATAGCCCACAGTTTTCCTTCTCTTTTTGTCCAGATGGGGTAAGTGTTGGAATACAGAGTGGCTGTCTTCTGGCCCATGTGCTAGGTTGCACTCATCTGAAAACCAGCTGAAACAGCTACAGGATGCATTCAGGCTTAAGCATACTAAAGCACCCAGTATAGACATAATACGATGTTCTTAGGATCAGGATTTCACTTGCCTTTTATTGCTGGTACGTGCAGAATTTGGGAAGGAATTCAATTTTAAAGCAGTATTTTATTATCATAGAATCATAGAATAGTTTGGGTTGGAAGGGACTTTTAAAGGTCATCTAGTCCAACCCCCCTGCTGTGGGCAGGGACACCTTCAACTAGATCAGGTTGCTCAGAGTATTTTATTTTTTTTTTTTTTAAAAGAGGCCTTTTAAAGAAAAAGAAGATACTTAAGACTGATATATATACATATTCCTAAGTGTTCTTGGAGTTTTAACAGTGAAGGTAATATGTTACTTGCTCAGCCACATTTGAAAATGCAAGCAAGAAGCCTGCATGCATAACAAAGTAAATGATGTAACTGATTGATGCTCACCCTTGACAGCGACATCGCCTAGAGCATATCAAACTCATTGAAGAGAGCGGAAACCGAGCTGTTTGTGTTGCCATGGATTGCTTCAGCATACGACCCCGTTCTTTCTCACCAAAAGATTTTGAGATTGCCATGCAAGAGTTAAGTTTCTTGCTGTCATGTCTGGAAGTCCTGTTTATATGAACTTTCTACTTTCAGTAAAATTTTGCCTGAGAAAAGCACTCAGAATTGATGTTCTTTTTCCCTGTCTTCAACTTTTTTTTTTTTTTTACTTTAGAAACAGTGACGTAAAAGCAAAGAGATTCTACTGAATTATAAAGGTAATAGCCCCTGCCTCTCAAATGCTGTCTCTCGGAGAGCTTTCAGGTGTTTTTTGAAGTTCTTTCTCACTATAGTTTTGAAATAAACAATCGAGACAAACACAACCTCAGCTCCTTTTTCTGCTGTCATGTCTGTATGCATTAAACTCTTCCTTTTTGTAAATCCCAGTATGGTCACATTCACAACAGGGCAGAGGGAAAAACATCACAGAAAAACTTAAAGCGTGATACTCCTGGAAGAAGGAATAATTAAGTGCAGTATTGAGCAGACCAACAAAACATGCTGTTTCTTTCTAATACATTTAAACCAGGCTAGCAATAAAAAAGGTGGATCGTAAGTTTTGATGCTGTGCTATACTCTGAAGACAAAAGTAACTACCATAGTTCTTCTAGCTCGTTGCTAGAAGCTGATTTCTAAAGTGATTATGAAGGGTGAACATTGAAGCACAAAGACCTTGTGAGTCATGCAGGGACAGCCTTGTTGCTTTCCTTTCTGTCTATCTGACGGCACTGCTTTGAAGACGGTGCACTTGGAAGATGTCTGATCCTGGCATTCTGTCCAGCCAGGAGGCAGAGAGAGGGACGGATGCTGTGGCTATCGGCCTGAACAGGTATGATGCTCTCACTGACAGCTGGGTCCGGATCAGTCAATGGTATTTTCAGAGGGTACACTGTAAAGAAGACCACTCAAAGCAAAACTAAAATGCAGTAAACTATCCAAGAGTACACTGACTTTCCGTCAGGATGCCTGTTGGAGCAGGTGCTTTAGGTTAATGAAGTTTTCATACAGACCTACTATGCTTATGGGTATAGGAACAAACTCCAGCTCTGATTAATATGCTTGCAAGGAATCCTTGCCTATCTGCTCTGGAGCAAGAAATACATTAAAAAAAAAAAAAAAGAAAAAAAAGAGACAGACTACTAGAATAATCCAGAGCAATATTAAACTGTATTCTAGATTAAAAAAATGAACCCTCTACCTCCTTAAAGCTGTCCCCAGGAACACAGGCTGCTTTCATTGCCTTAACCTGCCCATGGAGAATAAACACAAGGGGAAGCTAAATTTTAATGTGTTGCTCAGCCAGTTTGAAAAGCAAATCCTTTGTTTACATGCCTAAATGTGGATCTGGGCACCTAACTGTCAATGTCTATTGTTTTAAAACTTGGGTTTGATTTTTTTCATAAAGAAGAAGTGCTGTAAATGCCTGGTTGGTTTGTTTTTTTTCCCCCCACAATTGATGTTATGTGAGACAGGCAGGCTATTCTGGGTAGGAAGTTATTTTTAAACAGACATTACTCTTTTCCAGAAACAGACTGTAAGTTTCTGTCTTCTTTTAATTGCTTTACAAAGTAAATTGAGTCCCTCTGGTTATATAATTAATATCCACGTTTAGCCCTATATATTTGACATGACTTGAGCCATTTACTGCCACATTCATTTTTTAAGACTGGCTAGGAGTTCAGATATGTGTTTAATTTCTGCTGAACTCTGTAAAACATCCAGGGGTTTTCCAATGAGGACTCCAACAGTACAGAGAAGTATGTACTACAAGTGAGACAAGTGGAGAACAGAGCTGTTATCATGGGGCTTGAGCCAAACGATCTAAGCAGGTCTGTGTCCTCGTATACTCCTATGTTCATATTCAGCAGCGAAATGGCATCGTATCTATATTACATAATGTATTTTACCACTTGAAATAAATATAAAGGAAGCAGAAATTAAAACATTTGACCTTAAAATTACGGGCATTGTCGTATCTAGTGAAGATTTCATTTTTAATAGACACAACTTTTTAAATAGGCTTCATGCATGTTTTTGCTTGTAGGTTTTTTCCCAAAAGAGATTTCTAACTTTTCAGGCGAGTTCCCTACTAGAAGAAACTTTATTTTAAAGATGCTGTGAGCCTCTGAAAGTTTAACAGTCTTTTGCTGAGTGCCTTTTAAAAGTAACACGCTGCTTAATGAGGGGAAACCCGACAGCTTTGCTGCTTCCAACAGCTCCCTCTCGTGGCTTTTTGCTCACACGTCATCCTCCTCGGTGAGCAACGAAGCCTTTCAGCTTCTCCTCAGGTTGAAACATCAATGCTAATAAACCCAAGAACGCTGATCACAAGGTACAGGTAAAAACCCTCCTTCCTTCCAATACTATAAATTCTGCTATCGATTATGCTGAGCTTAACAATATGACATTTCATAGGCTTCGTTTGACAGCATCCTTGCTAATAAAACTGCAAATGTTGGTAAGGTTTTTCTCACGACTGACACTTCTGAGCTCAGCTGTTTCACTGAAATAAAGTTCAGCTATCTCGTCTAAGATGCTGAAAGGTTTCCTGTTAACATACCACTCATGCATATTAATATCCTCAAGAAGGGCTTGAAAGCTTCTATCATTTTCCCAGCTACACCTATTGATCTGATAAGAGGTCTGACCTCCACCTTGTCTTTCTACAGCTTCCTGAAGGTATTATCCCCAGAACATGACAGGGAGACATGGCAGGGAGCTAAGGCAGAGTTAGGCAAGAGTGTTTCTTCTCTTATCTGTAAGCTGTAGTACAGATACACTACTTCAATCTTTAAATGAGCAAGGTCAATTACTGGAAAGATTCCAAGGTTGGATTCACCTGGCCCAATATGGAGGTCTTCTAGATTCCCA